CCGTTTTGAAAAGACAGATTATACTTCTGCAACGTTTTTCTCGATTTTGGTGCCTTACGTTTTTTCCAAACGTGATGATTAAAGTACCGATCTCCCACGTCTGCGGCGTCAAACGAAGAAACCCATCCAAAAATTTGACCGCAATGTTTACACGCAAATCTTTCGTCCATTTCAACTTTTCGGTGGTTACAAGGCGGGCTCGGTTTCACATTCCTCGTTGCACCAATTATGTGTACTTCCTTTCTATTCAACAAGTGGCAAAGTTTTGCATCAGTCATTTTATATAAGGGTTTATTTATTTAAAGTAAAAAAAAATTAACCCCGGTTAATAGCTAACCGAGGTTAAATTGATTTTTCAAATTTAATCGTCTTTTAATTCAAATCCGCTAAACGCTTGCAACGCCGACTTACTCGAAATTAAACCGTCGTTTCTAATTTTCAACATTGCCGATGTCACTCTATACCTAACGCTGGCTCCACAAGACAGTGAACCGTGGGTACCGTAGTATACGTCTTTTGCACAAATAAATGATTGCGCGTCGCATCTCTTATTGATAAATTTATCGATATTTGACGAGTCGATGAATTTTTTTTGTGATCAAATAGCGAAGCAAAGGGATCTATTTTAACGTACATTTGTTTTTTAGCCGTATAAGGCGGTTTAACTACATATTCGATCTTGTTCAATTCATCGATATCGTGACTGGCTTTGTAGGCATTTACGGTGTTAGACGGGAGATTAGACCCTTGAGACTCGATAAATTTATAAACGGCTAAATTTATGTAATCGAGTACGCTTGCCGTAGGTGATTGTATCTGATAACAAATTTGACGGCCCTGGATATTTTCGGGCGTTTTATCTCGAGTGCCATATTTGTAAAGTGGGTTTATACCGTAACAGGGCTCTGTCGTCATAATCAACAGGCGTTTGTTTTGGTAAAAAATGGGTGAAGTGTAGATCCCTTCTTTAACCACGGAATTTGAAATGATTAATTTACTCGGGTCAAAGGGGCCATAGGTAACATTGGGATCGCAGTTGTCGACATTTAGACGCTCGTGGTCGTCTGAAACGATAAATACTTGAGTTGACATGGTTCTTATTTATAATTAGGTTTCTAAAATTTTTCTCATTTTAATTCGGGTGGGATATCTACTTTAATTAAATGTTCGACGTCAGCGTCGTTTTTAATAATTAATCCAATTTTGTATTAGTCTACGTCGGGTTTCGTAGCTGAATCGGGCAATGACTCGTTCTCTCGCACGTGCCTCAGCTTTTTATGCTTGCCGTCTATGAGCACCACGTGATCCATTCCTTCCAACTCGACACAATTTACGCAGCAGGTGCAATAGGTACAACCAAAACACTCGATACAATTGTCACAGTCGTAACAGTCCTCGCAACTGTCCAAGGCATTCGAATTTCTGCAGTCGTATGAATTAAAACAAGCCTCGCAATTTATACATCTACAACAATCGTCGCTGGTGAAGCAGTCATTACATCTGACGCAGTCTTGACATCCGTGACAATTGCGACACTCTTTACAACCGATACATTTGAGTAAACTTTTGGAATTAAAACAACGAGAGCAATCGTACGAATCTATCAAGTCGACTGAATTACTCGTGTCTTTGCAAAAATAACAATTTACGTTTGTAGTTTTATCTGTCATTTATTTTTATGTATTTTTATTTTTTTATCAATTTTTTCTCACGAGTTGTTTACAGCGAGCGAGCGAGCGGTGCCGGGGTCAAAAGTTGAGTGGAATTCCCCGAGATTTTTGGGTCGATGTACTACCCAAGGGTTTTGAGCAAAAACCGGGGTTTCACGTCATTCCAGGATTTTCCCATTTTTCCCACCAAAAATGTTTCGACGATTTTTTGGGTCGATGTACTACCCAAGGGTTTTGAGCAAAAACCGGGTAAAAAGGGGCGCTTGGTCCAGAACTGTCCCTTCCCTACTACTCAAACTGTATTGTTGGTTGCTTGCTCTCACTTCTCTTCATCAAAGTTCAATGTGGGTTTGAAGAAGGTGTAGCTTAACATAATACAACACACAAAAGGCAAAGTTATAGAGAGGCAAAGTTGCATACGAGTGTAACTGAACTACGGTTTGGCATCCAATAACATTATTGTAACACATACAAGACATTTTGCAACAAATTAAATCATATTATTAAGATTATTAAATCAAAGTTTCATCAAGACAAATTTGAAAAAGCAAAAAGTAATGCTAGAAGAACATGGGGCATAATCAACTCATTATTGAATAAAAACAACCAGAAGAAATGTCATTTGGGGTTCTTTTTAGATGGAAACCTTTCAAATAAGCCTCGGGAAATTTCAAATGCATTTAATGACTTCTTCACGCAAATAGGTCCTTCTCTTAACCGAAATATTCCACAAGCTAAAGTCAGTTATGAGAACTACTTGACAGACCCTAACGAAAATAAAATTATATCTTTTTTAACCCAATAACCAAAACAGAGATGCACGAAATAGTCTGAAAATTTCTAAGCAACAAGTCTCCGGGCTTGGATGGAGTCAAACCTGGGCTACTAAAATCCGTCATAACTAGCATAAGAGATCCATTAAAATAGAGATCCATGATGATAAATGTCTCCACTCCTCATAGAAATGCAGCGCCTTTAGAGCTCAAATGCATCCCAGACTTTCCCAAATGAAAGTTTTTTTCCCTAAAAAATCTCATGATCACCAGACAAGGAACCCCCCCATCACGCAAGTCATTGTTTTGGTTGGCAAAGGCTATGTTTGGTTATCTCTTTCCTCATACACCATAGTTGAGCCCTGCATCATTCCTTTCATTTTTCAACCATAAAAATCTCGCAGAAATTTCCAAGCTAAAAAGCATTTATAGTACATGTAAAGTAATTCTTTCACTTCTTCGACACAAGAATAGTCTAGACTCTTTAAACTGTCAGTTAAGAAGACCTGTAGGTTTGTCTTTTGTTTTCAAATAACTGAAATTCATAGACAACTATTTTTTTTCCAACGGACACAAGAAGTTGGATGCAGCTTTGGTTTGTTAAAATGAAGTCAACAGGTCAAAATAATAGGAAAGAATTAAACAGAAAAGTATAAATCATATCAATTTTTTGA